GGAAATGGATGTCATGGATTTGTGGTTTGTGCTCCTCAAATCAAACAAATTCCAGGTTGTGGGACTGAATCACCTGGAACTGATTTTCTAACTGATTTTCTTCTCCTTCTAAAAGGAGAAGAAGCTTCTGATGTGGTCTGTTGGGTGCTTGGAGGCATTTTAGGTGTCTCCAACTTTGCAAACTGCTCAGGAGGTTCATGGTTTGAGCTCTGGGCCTTTTATCTGATGGCAAAAGGTTTTAAAGAGAATTAGTCCCAAACAAAAGTCAAAAACAGCCAAAACAAGGCCAGCAGGGCAGAGCCTAGGGTGGATTTGAGTCTGGATGAATTGGAATTTGGTGCAGGACCCCCCACTGGTGCTCTGCTCTGGGTTTGGAGCCCGTGCTGTGAGGGGAGGTGGGGCTGGTGATGGGCTGGGGTCTCTCTTGTTGTTCTCTGGGGTCTCTCTTGTTGTTCTCTGGCGGATTTTGTGCCCTCCTCCCTGCCTGAATCTCCTTGGGAAGGAGCTGCTGGCTCCCAGGGCTGAGGGAATCTGTCCTTGGGGGTTGACAGAGCTCTTGGCTCGAGACCATGAAGGAGCAAAGTTGTGGCGGAATTGGTCATTAAAATGATGGAAAGGCAGGAGAAGCAGTGCTGGGGGAGAGATGGAGACCTGAGCGTCTGAAAAGGGCCAGAGAGAGGGTTGGAGGTGGCCCCTTTGGGCTCTCTGGGGCTGAGACCCAGCAGGGCAGGGGGTGGGAGCTGAGGGGAGACAATTCCCAAGGAGCAGGGTTGGTGTTGGAGGGAAAAGGGGGATTCTCCCACTCTGCTGGGAGCTCCTGGCAGAGCTCTCCCAGTGCCAGCTCCTCTGCCCTGGGGCTCACAGCAGGTTCATGTTGGTGACTTGGAGGATTCCAGAATGATCTTTGGTGGGAAGGAACCTCAAAGCCCATCTCATCCCACCCCTGCCATGGGCAGGAACACCTCCCACCATCCCAGGCTGCTCCAGCCTGGCCTTGGACACTTCACAACCCAGGGACAGCGGGAAGTTCACA